ATGAGTACTAGTCATGATTGGTATGGTAATCATAGCCAATATCATTACTGCTATCAAATATCATCCACATATAGTAGACAATATACAAAAGTGACTCCCACTATAACCTATTGGCTATATAACTAATTTCAGTTATTATATTATGAAAAGTAAAATACCATTGCCTAGAAGACTGTTTTAGACCATGTAAAGATTTCTTAAATTTATATACTTCGTCTTCTTGGTTTTTAATTACATATCCTTCTGGTTGTTTCATGTATATATCTTCTTTTAATTCTCCATTTAATAAAGCTATTTTGACATCCATCTGAAATAATTCTAAATCATAACATGCAACTAATGCAAAGATGATCTTAATAGATGAAAATTTGGCTACTGGAGAATATTTTACATAATCTATGCCCTCCCTTTAGGTAAATCCTTTAGCTACCAACCTAGTTTTATATTTATCAATGAATCCATTTGTATTAAGCTTTTTCTTTATGACCCATTTGCAACCGATGGCTTTTCTATCTTTAGGGAGGTCCACCAACTCCTAGATTTGATTTCTTTTAATAAAATCAAGTTCATCATCCATGGCTTGAGTCCACTTAGCTGAGTCATGTGAGCTAATAGCTTTACTGTAGCTTCGAGGTTCATCTATTGTATCATCACTCATTGAATAGTAATTATCTTCATTGATAAATACATAAAATTCTTCTAAAATCGTAGGTGGGCCTCTAGTTCTTTTAGGCCTATCTGGTATACTTGATTCAATTGAATCATTCTCACCAAATGTAGAGGGAGTATGAGAAACAGGGTCTTCTAGACCCTTATCTTTGTCAATTTCATGTAGGTCAATAAGCTTATTTAAAATATTTCCATCATTTATATTTTCTAAGAAATGAGCATCACGACTCTCTACTAATGATCTAGTATCATGGTTATAGAATCTATACCTTTTAGAATTTTTTGAATAGCCTATAAAAGAGCATTTTATAGTTTTACTTTGTAATTTATCTCTATTTTATGGTGGTATAAGCACCTGTGCCTAAGAACCTCAAACTTTCAAGATAGTAAGGTCAGGTTTCCTACCTGTCCATAATTCATATGAGGTCAAGTCTATAGATTTAGTTGGAACACGATTAATGATATGTATTGTAGTGTTGAGAGCCTCACCCCAAAAATGAGGTGATAAATTTGAATGGCTCATCATGGACCTAACCATGTCCATTAGAGTTCTATTTCTCATTTTGTTGTGGTGTATATGACATAGTCATTTGGTGAATTATACCATGCGCCTTACAAAATTTAAAAAATAAGGCGGAGTAATATCCACCTCCTCTATCTGTTCGAAGAATTTTAATATGTCCACTTAACTGATTATCTACCTCATCTTTATAGTCTTTAAATGTTTCTAATGCATCTGATTTCTTACTAATTAAGTATATATATCCAAAACGTGAATAATCGTCTATAAATCTTATGAAATATTTCATACCTCTATGTGTTTTCACATTTAATGGGCCACATATATCAGAGTGAACAATATTAGGTAGTTCACTAGATCTTTTCCCTTTAGGGAAAGGCTTCTCAGTTAATTTACCAAAAATACATAGCTCGCATGTTTTGAACACAATTTTTCCTAAATTGAGGAGCAAGCCTCTTTTAACCATTTAATTCATTTTGTCTTTATTTATATATTCTAATCTTAAGTTCCATAAATATGGATCATCCATACACATAAAAGCATCAATATAACCATAAAATGATGAACTTTCATTAATATTCAATCGGTACAAATTATGAACTTTAGTACCGTACACCAAAGCTCTAGAATGCTTCCCAATGGTAACCCGACCAAACCTGAACCTTATTTCATAACCTTTGTCATCTAGCCTAGGGACATAAATCAAATTGCGTCTCATATTGAGCGCATACAACGTATCAATCAATAAGAGATTTGTTCCTCCTGGAGTACCAACACCTAGTACAACACAGTAGGTGTCATTTCCCATTTAAATCCGGTAGTTACCGGCTGCAATCTCTTCCAATTCTGTGAATCCGTCCTTGATCCCTGAGACATGTCGAGTGAAGGCTGACTCGGCCCACCAATTTCTCAGGTCATGATCGGCAATTATTGATTCTAGAACTACACATATCAAGTTATTTCTCTTATTTTGATTATTTCGAGTAGGGTTGTTATTTTGGTTCTTATTTTTATTTTTTAGCTTAGGACAATTAAACTTAATATGCCCAATTTCCTTACAATAAAAACAGGTCTTCTCAACCTTATTCTTTTGATTTTTAAAATTTCTACCATTTCCCTTATACATATTATTTTTCTGATAATTGAAAGGTTTCTTAGGGATATGAGAAGATGAACTTTGGGCAAAGTGGAGCTCATTTGACCTCTTCCTCATTCTTCTCTTAGCTTCAATACTAAGATGTATGGGAAGATTTAACATGGTTATCCCTTGTGCATTATGGTTCAATGCAATTATAACAGACTCCTAAGATGGAGGGAGACTGTTAAGGACAATGGATACTTACATGCGATCGGGGACTCGATTCCCAGCTGCAGCAAGGTCTTTGGCGAGCACTGTCATTTTATTGACATGTTCGGTCACTGAGTCTGTTTCTTTCATTTTGCAAGAATTGTATTTTTCTAACAACAATTGTATATGGGTCTCAAAAGTGGTCACATACTTTTCACATAGGCCACCCATCATACTTTGAGATGTGGTGTAATCCTCAAATACTCTAATTAAATCATCTTCTATAAAGCTCAACATAATAATTATAGCTACGTTGTCATCTTCTAACCATTTTTCAAGTCGCCTTCTAGCTTGACCATTGACTTTAGGCTCTAAAACTGGTCGTTCTGTTTCTAGGACATAATCTACCCTATCTTGAAAAAAAATATATTCAATTTTTCTTTTCCACATAGAAAAATTGGTCCCATTGAGTTTTTCAAGTTTGGATAGTTCTGACATAACTAGACTAGATATGATTTTAAATTTTTAGATGATACCTAAAAGTTGAAAAAAAATTAATTGTGTTTAAGAAAGGGTTGTCTGCTAGTTAACTCAATAGGTTTGCCGACTCTCAGGGAGCTGAAACCTCAAAAAAAAAAATTTCTCAAACAGTTTATGTTCGCACTGCTGTGATGCAATAAAAAATTAATAAAGTAAGGCAACAACTACTTTATGTCAAATCTTTCATAAATATAAGTTACATAAATATATGAATATGTTTTAGCACCAGAGAGAGAGTCTACAGTGATATTTTGATATTTTCAACAAAAATATGGCACAAAAAATAAAGAATTCACAAAATCAAGAGCATGAAATTTTCTAACTTAAAAAGACCTAAGCATATGATAATTATGCAATGCAATGACAATTATTATGTAAATAAAATATGTAGTAAATTCCTAAATTATAAGCCACAAAAAAAAAATGCATGCAATTGACATAACAACCTTTTCTTGAATAGTTGTTGTGTGCAGTGGTTTAAAAAGCGGATCGGTGACCCAGATCGGGCATCTCAAAAACCCATCCGGATTGGTGAATCGACGATCCGGATCGGGAATCGGCTGAATCGGTCGGATTAAACCTTAAAAAATATCCAAAAAAATTATTAAAATTCATTATAAATGTTGGTTTTTATGAATTCAATAAGAAATTAGGGTACTCCATTAAGAATTTTCATTTCTTCGTATGAATATGCGAATATTGATATGTTCTTTCCCTGCATGAACTACTATTTACCATTTAATTTACATCATACAAAAGGATAAATATATAATTATCATGGATTAAGTATATCATCATACATGGACTACAATAAAGTATACAATTCGTAACATACGATCTAAAAATAAAATGACTGACGACGTCGTTCTTCATCTTGGTCACGCTGGTGCCATTGATTGAATTCGCGTGACAATTCATTGACTCGTTCTAAAAACGAATCATCCAAATTAGTGGGCACCTGACTATACCCAAATCCCTGAGTATTAGTGTTTTGTTGTGGTCCTAATCCAAAATCACCGAAGCTTGTCCATCCTTCATTCTCACCTACACTATCGTGCTCATCCCTACCCTATTGTTGTTGGGACTCGATATATGAATAATTTGGCTGGGATTTGATGGCCTCAGAATCATCATCTCTCTCACTTTCCCTTAGAGCCCCTTCCCACTCTCCCTCATTAGGTGCAATATCACCGACATCTCCTACGAATTGTGGATACGTTGGCGGGCTGCTTCCTCTT